GACAGGCTGAAAGGAGTCAAGGGTTACCGGGCAAGACAGAGCGCTGGACATCTCTGCTCGACTCACTGTGTTCAAAAAAGGAGAGAGGTCTCGTCGGATGGCCTCCACTTTAGATTTTAAAAAGGCTGCAAACTGGTCAGGTGAAAAACTAGGGGGAGGCCTATCATCCAGACCAGTTCCGGATAGGTCGCGCACTATACGGAATAACTCCACCTGCTGGTTGGACGCTTCGCTTATGCGGTTAGCGAAGTAAGTTCGACAAGCAGCCTTTACCTTAGACAGGTAAAGGTTAGTTACGACCCTGACAGCTATACTATTATAATCCATCGGGTTCTTCCTCCACTTATGCTCTAGCCTTCTCCTATGTCGCTTCAGTGCTCGAAGCTCCTGGTTAAACCAGGACGCTGGCCGAGCTCTACGACGGAGAGGCCGTTTAGGCGTGATCGTGTCTATAGCCCTGGTTGCGAAGGTAGATCAGCTATCAACCAGAGCGTGGACAGGAGTGCTAGCCAGGTCCGCCGTGACCTCTCTCATGACATCCTGGAATCCAGCAGGATCCAGTAGCCTTCGAGGGCGGACCATAGAAATAGGTCCCTGCTCCCTGCGAGGGGGGAGAGCCATTGTGAGGTTACATTTTATCAGGTGGTGATCTGACCATGACAAGGGGACCGACACGAGGTCAGTCACCATCAGACCACACTCACTCCAACTGGTGGAAAAAACCAGGTCCAGTGTGTGGCCACCCACGTGGGTGGGACCATTGACATGTTGGGACATGTTCAAGGAAGCCATGGTTTCCAGGAACTCAAGAGCTGGCCCAGTAGTGTCTGCCCCCGCATGCACGTTGAAATCGCCCAAGACCAAAAGCCTGGGGGATCCCAACAATGCCCCGGAGACAAAGTCAAATTAAAAGGAAACTAAGAAATGTCTGTGAGGCCCTTCTGTTAAAAGGCTCAGAGTGGTGTATGGGAAAATAAATTTTAAAAGGGAATGCAATGAGCGCATGGTATCTGGAGAAGAAAAAGCAGCATAAAAAGCAGCAAAGACCAAAAAGCTATTGAATTGTGAACAGCTAGAATATAGATGTTGGTCTCGCTTGTATTTTTATGCTTACAGAGTACAGTATACAGCTTTGAAGCATTATTAAAAATAACTCATTCTTAGTTTCCGTTAGCTATAATGCAATATACTGTAGCTGCTATATTATAATTGAGCTGTGCCAGAAGACAGTGCAGGTTCTCCCAAATTCCCTGAGAATATTTCAAAGTCCCTATGTAGTGAAAATTTTGGAACTTGTATGGTGGAGGTTTGAGTAAACAAATGAAATGACATTTGAAGAGAGCTTATACAAAAAGAGGGCATTGTGGCCCAGACTGTTAAAAATCTTATGCCAACGTAATTTGACATTTGATTTTTACAGAAAATTGATCAAATCTGTAATTGCATAAAGTGTGATTCTGATGAATGTATAATTCCAGTTGCTTTCTCTCATGTTACTAATACCTTAAGATACATAGAATAAATTAAGGCTATCTTACACTTGCATGTTTCCAGACAAGCACACAGGTTTCTCCTTTTTGGAGAGCAAACATGAGTTTTGAGGGGGTTTTTTAACATTATGTGTTGATGATTCTTATTTTGATTATTAACAAGTTTGACCATTAATTTAGAAAAAATGGAAATGATTACATGGGCTAAGATAATTTTTGTTATTCTACAGTACAAATGTGAAATGTGCATCTGAATGTGGAATGCCATTTCAGTAGCACTGAGATCTGGACAACTGTCAGTAAAGGAGATTATTAACAATGTGTTTGTTTGTGTAGGTAACTATAGGTCGAGGAGCTGGTGTTACGTATCAGCTGATGTCAAAATCCTGCCCATTGATGATCTCTCGGAACCACTGTGTGTTCAAACAAAATACAGATGGCCAGTGGACAGTGACTGATAACAAGGTAGGGAAAGTCAGTAAAGAGTAAATGACTTAAACTATTGAGAATGAGGAGTCAGATTTGAAAATATAATCAGACTTGGTTGATTAAAATCATATATGTTTATTTTATATGCAGTTTATGAAAATTAGTATTTAGCTAGGCTAATGTAACTCTGACTCTATTGTCAGTTTGTTAGAATTATTTCCCGTAATTGGAGGGTTAGTATCTTTTATTGAGTGCTTTGAATTTATAACCTAGAAAATAGATGCAAAGGATATAACATGTAGTATTTAAAACTCTTGAAAGTGAAAAGCCATTATCCCACTTGCATATGGTTGCTTTGCCCAAAGGATCTTTTGCTTATACAGTGGTGCCTTGCTTAACGATTACCTCGTTAAACGACAAATCTGCTTTACGATGGTTTTTTTGTGATTCCAAAACAATGTTCCTATGGGGAAAATTCGCTTCATGATGATTGGTTCCCTGTTTTGGGAACCGATTCTTCGCATTACGACGATCTAAAAACAACTGATCGTCGGGTTTCGAAATGGCCACCCGCTGTGCAAAATGGCTCCCCGCTGTGTTAAGGACGGATTCCTCGCTATACAGGCAGCAGAAAATGGCCGCCCTATGGAGGATCTCCGCTGCATGATAAGGTATTTCGTCCATTGGGATGCATTGAACGGTTTTCAATGCATTTCAATGGGTTTTTTTAATTTCGCTTGACGACGATTTCGCTTACGCATTATCGTCGTCAAGTGAGGCACCACTGTAATTTGATGTTGTTGATGATACTTAAATCTTATATAATGCTTTCAAGAATTTGACATGCATTGTCAACTTGAAATCTCTAACACTGCATATGGAGGAAGGGGCTATGGGCAAGAAGTTATGGTTTATTATTGCACCTCTTTTCTGACTCTAGATTGCTGTGGATCATCTCTAAATTCTTTTCAGAACTTATATTCTAAAAGAACACTTAGCGTTTCAATGAATGGTATCACAGAAGACAAGTATATTCACTAGGATCAACCCATTATTTTCCAGTGTCATTCAAGTTGGGGGTGGGCAAACAAAACAGTTCATTTAAAACTGTACTAAAAGATATTAAAGAAAGACACATACTGGAATTAACTCTCCTAAACCACTCATTGCAGTTGGTGGTATGGAGTAGTTTGCTCTCTGTTATAAACTTTTAATCATGTTACAGATTGCCTGGGCATTGGGATGCACCTGGATCCAGAATACTTATTTTTTGTGCCCCACCTCCAGCCCAAGGTTAATGAGATAGACAGTGGCTATATTTTTGGAAAGCGTCAAGCAATTTTGCCAACTCTTAGACAACATGATAGTCAAAGTTCCTGCTCACCTTGCCACTGTTGATGAGTGTCTATTGGCTCATGACACAGTACATAATGGAAGTAATTTGACTCATAGCCAATCAGCTTAAGGAGTGAGTTATGGAGGCATGATGTTTTTAACAAGGATCCGGAAGCAGCCCACAAGCCACAACCTGCTCTCACTCCCTGCTTCTGCTCTTCATCAGATATTTCTTCAGTTCAGGTAGTTAAGATCATTGCTGAATCCACACTGTGTATGGATTAGGAACATCTGGACTGTTTGCTGACTTAGTGGCTCTTTGTCTTGGACTCTACAAATCATCAACAACCTCTCATAAATACTGGGATCTCTTTGAAAGTTCTTTCTGAAAGCACTGATAGGCAAAATGAAGCAGGGGGTTAATTTTTCATTTACGGTGCAGCTAGTCAGCCAAATTATTCTGGCCTGGATTGGGCTAGATTGTGATAAGCAGTGTTGCTTTGAAGTGTGGCATGTCATTTGGGGCGATCCTTGTACTGTATGTGGCTAACACCTTGTAAGTTGTTTTTGGGGCTGGAAACCACAGTGCACTTCAAGCGACCCTATTTTGTCCTTTCTCTCCTATCTCTTCCTCCATGAAAGAGCAGAAGGAAAGTGTTAATTTAAAAAAATTCTAAGTGGCATAGTATATCACTGCTGCCTTACAAGGACTTAAGGAAAATGACCTTTGCTTTCTCCCTCTCAAGGAAGTGGGAGGAAGTTTTCCATTTTCCAAGATTGTGAAGTGACTTAAGCAACCTGTTTCATTCATCTGCTTTGGAACAATACCTGTGATTACACATGCTGGAACAGAGCCAAAATGGAATGATCCTACTAGCACACACACACACACACACAAAAATCCCCCGCAAAAAAAAATAAGAGTAACGGGGACCCCAAAAGGTGCAGGTAGGCATCAATCAGGAACACACTGGTTCATGATGGCCCTTATGTCATGTAGCTGCCAGAAAAAGAAGTAAATCAGCTCATCCCCAAACCAATCCAGACATGGGACAAATTGCTGTCAAGTTGCATCCTTAATTTTGTGAAGGTTACCAATTAAATAAAAGTAACTGCAAGATAATATCACTGACAGTAATGTTACAATTGCAAAAAAAAATTGCCTACAGACAGAACACCACATGTGTGACATCACATTTGTGTATGGTGTGATTTAGTTGTGAAAAGGCTACCACATTATTCTGAGACAGTCTTTGAGATGGAGGTGTTCCTACATAATATGCTGAACTAGGTGGTTTAAGATTTCTAAGTGTGATGCTAGTTATTTAAGTTACACCCATTTTGATTTTTCCCCTTGCATAACACTACTAATACTGTATATATTCAATTAGGTTCTGTAGATTCTGGTTTTTATCTTGAGGATGATCAAGACGACAGCTTCTGTTTAGTTAACATTACCTACATGTGGATGTGCAGGACGTGTCTGGGAGATGAAGGAAGAGTGCTGTAGAGGAAGTGCCATAATGCTCTTCCATAGTTTTTTTTTAAATTGACACGTGAGTGGCAGATTGCTGTACTATTACTACTGTCGCTACATTTTCAATTTTAATCAGAATGCATGGTTACATTCTGATTACCCATGATTTGAAGATTTTTTGTTTATGCCCTCATTCATATTCTCATGCATTAATGTTAAAAATATAAAGGACAAAGGTAAAGTAGAAGCAGGGAATATGACTGGCCTGCCGCACTTGAGATCTGTAAGAGTGGTGGTTACTTTGGACAGGACCTTCCCAGTAGTAGCCCTTCGCTTGTGAAATATTTAAGTAGTTGCTATATTTTCCTATATGGTTAACAAAAATTGTTGTTTTTTACAGACAAACACTTTATAGAATTATTTGTTCTTTTAATTTGTTGGTTCAAATGCTTTTTCTATATTTATTATGTTTGCTGTTGCCAGTTCTTTTTCTAAAATTTGTTTAAAATTGACTTAATAAATATTTTGCATTGATAAGGAATTGTGTATTTATGTTGTAAACCACACTTGGAAGACAGTAGCACTGGAAAAAATATTCACTCAAAGTATGCATGACTTATGAGGGATACTGAATCTATTGAAATTCCTTTTCAGCCGGGGTGCATTTAGTTTGTGTTACAATTTAAAGAATGTTTAAATCCTTTTTAGGATTGATTTCTTTTTTGCAGAAAAACAAATACTTTTGTAGTTTTCCATTCTAAAAGTTTCCCCCCCTCCCCTCTATTTCAGAGTCTAAATGGTGTTTGGCTCAACTGTGAACGGATTGATACATCAAGGGCCTATTCCTTACAGGAAGGTGACATTATCCAGTTAGGAGTGCCTTTAAAGCACAGAGAAACAGCTGAATATGAATATAGATTAATAAAAGAAGAATGGAAGAAAGTTAGTCCATTTTTAGCACAGAAAAATGACCAGCTAACTGAGCAAACAAAGGACATGAGGGCTAAACGAAAAATTAGTTTGGAAGAATCGGAGGCATCAGGAGCAGAAGGGCCCTCCAATTTCAGATCTAAGAGAGACCGAGTATCTTCTGATAATGGCTCTTTGGCAAAATCTGAGGGAGGCAGGACAGAACTGTCTAAACAACCAGTGGAAAACATGGACATAGTACTACTTCCTCCGAAACCAAGTAAGAAGGAGAAGAAGAAAAACCACTGTAGTACCGTTCAGCTTGAGCATGGTTCTTGTTTCATCTCTAAAGATCAAAAAGCCCCAAGCCTGGCACAATCTTGGAATGGTTTAGAACAAATTATGAAAACTTTGGCGGACATGACAAAGCTAAAAACTAAGATGCAGGAGAAGCAGACAGCAGTCTTGAATGTCAGACAAAAAAACAAGAAGTGTGCTCCAAAAGAAATCCAGGTTTTAGAACAAGAGTTGCAGGATTTGCAGGATCAGTTATGTACTGAGCAGGAACATCAGCAGCAACGTGTGCAACAGTTAGAGAAAACTTTCTATGAAGAACTAGAGGTAGGTGCAGTTACGTTAGATGTCACCACCATCATGTACATTTTTGAAAATTTAGACGCCTTGACTGTTTAGACCTTTCTTTCTTGTAGGAAAAATATTATGCATACTATTTTATTTCATTCCACTGCAGAATATGTATTGCTAAATACAGCTGCATAGATCTCACACTTGTTTACTCTTGAGATTGGTAAGACTGGAAGCAGTATTCTCAATATCTATTTTACCCCCTCTCCTAACATTCTTGGGAGTGTGATCAAGTTGACCACCAGTGGAGCATAACCCTTTGTTGGTGTAGTTCTACCCAAACTTTGTTGTGCAGGCAGAATTGTCCCTTGATGCCATTGGGGCTTCCACTTGTGCAAGAAGGTACTGGATACCTCCTTCTATAGGCTCTGTAAATGTACCATTTACACAGCAGACTGCTGAATGAGTGGAACAAATGGACAGGGTTCTATGCCATTCTTGTGGCAGTGATGCCTACAGAGCACATTGATGTACTCAGGCACATGATATTTATTTTGTAGATACAATACCTGTGGTGGAGACAGGGAAAATAGTAGTAGCCACAGTGGAAGGATTGTTGTCAGCAGGCTGTGAGCTGCTGTTTTGTGTGTGATTGAAGTGCACTAGGGATCAGTACTGAAACTGCAACAGGTTGAATACAGTTAAGCAAATATATTCCTATTTTCTGATGGAATAGCATTTATTCTCATTAATCTTAACTGTAAATTACGTCACTTGTTTATGAGTCTCACTTCAATAGGGAATTATAGTTCTGTTGTTCTGTTTGTTTTTGCCCCAAACCTTTTTTAGGTCTTCTGTCAATAATTTAGCACTAGATACCTGTTGATGTAGTATTACTGCTGTGGTAATGTCTAGCAGCAGAGAGCCAAAGGAAATGCACCACTCACTTATTTATTTATTTATTTATTTATTTATTTATTTATTTATTTATTTATTTATTTATTCATTC